ATCTACCATGATGGTTGTCGTCATCGTCATCATCATCATCATCATCATCATCATCATCATCATCATCATCATCATCATCATCATCATCATCATCATCATCATCATCATCATCATCATCATCATCATCATCATCATCATCATCATCATCATCATCATCATCATCATCATCATCATCATCATCATCATCATCATCATCATCATCATCATCATCATCATCATCATCATCATCATCATCATCATCATCATCATCATCATCATCATCATCATCATCATCATCATCATCATCATCATCATCATCATCATCATCATCATCATCATCATCATCATCATCATCATCATCATCATCATCATCATCATCATCATCATCATCATCATCATCATCATCATCATCATCATCATCATCATCATCATCATCATCATCATCATCATCATCATCATCATCATCATCATCATCATCATCATCATCATCATCATCATCATCATCATCATCATCATCATCATCATCATCATCATCATCATCATCATCATCATCATCATCATCATCATCATCATCATCATCATCATCATCATCATCATCATCATCATCATCATCATCATCATCATCATCATCATCATCATCATCATCATCATCATCATCATCATCATCATCATCATCATCATCATCATCATCATCATCATCATCATCATCATCATCATCATCATCATCATCATCATCATCATCATCATCATCATCATCATCATCATCATCATCATCATCATCATCATCATCATCATCATCATCATCATCATCATCATCATCATCATCATCATCATCATCATCATCATCATCATCATCATCATCATCATCATCATCATCATCATCATCATCATCATCATCATCATCATCATCATCATCATCATCATCATCATCATCATCATCATCATCATCATCATCATCATCATCATCATCATCATCATCATCATCATCATCATCATCATCATCATCATCATCATCATCATCATCATCATCATCATCATCATCATCATCATCATCATCATCGCCATCATCCATCATGGATGTCGTCATCGTCATCGTCATTTACCGTCGTCAGCATCACCAGTGTCGTCGTCGTTTTCATCGTCGTCGTCATTTGTATTATTTGTGTTATCACTAATTACATTACGTTAAATAATCTACGGGATTACTACCCTGGTTTCAATTTACCTTCGTGTTTTGTTTTTGTTTATTTTCGTGGTCTTGTTCATCATCCTTCCCCATTTACCCTTTTCTTCGTTCATTCTTAAATCATACTGCAATTAGAATGGCAGAACTAAAGAAAGGAGAGGAAAGCGAGAGAGAAAGAGGAAGGGAAGAAGAAGGGGAATAAAAGAAAGAAGTTAGATGGAGAGGGAGAGGGAAAGAGAGAGAACTGGTAACAATTACGGGAAGAAAGAGAGAGAGAGAGAGAGAGAGAGAGAGAGAGAGAGAGAGAGAGAGAGAGAGAGAGAGAGAGAGTAAAACTTAGAGAGAGAGAGAGAGAGAGAGAGAGAGAGAGAAAGAGTAAAAGAGAGAGAGAGAGAGAAAGAGTAAAAGAGAGAAAGAAAGGGAAAAGGGGAAAGAGATACGGATGAGTGGGGAAGGAGAGAAAGAGAAAAATAAAAGAAGGACAGAAAGAGAAGGGATATCCAACCCAAAGGCCACTCCTTGCCCCCCCCCCTCCCCCTGCCTTGGTGACCTTGACCAATCACCGCTTTCCTTCCTCACTGGCTTTTTGACCTTTGCTTGCGGGCTCGTGGCATGAACACAGCAGTTCGTATTGAACAGGTTTCAATAACACGAAAAGAAGTAGAAGAGGAAGAAAAGGAGAGGAGGAAGAGGAACAGGAGGAAATAAAACTTTAGTGCAGTCGTACACATTAGCTGATTAGCCTTCCTTTGGTTATATTTAGCCCCCTCCCCCCCCCAAAAAAAAAAAAAAAAAAAATGAGAGAGAGAGAGAGAGAAAGACGCTGCATATCTTCTTGAGAAATTACAGATCCATCATGCTTAGTCAACCCTTCGTCTGAGGGATTTGCGGGGAAGACAATGTGTTTTATGCGGCGGTGGAATTCGGGCGAAAAGGGGTGCTTCGCTGCCGTGCCCCGTAAAAGGGGTTGGAGGCGTTGTATCGGTGGAGGGAGGAGTGGGTAGAGAGAGGGAGGGAGGGAGGGAGAGGGAGAGGGAGAGAGGGAGCGAGGGAGGGAGAGGGAGAAGGAGGGAGGGAGAGACAGGGAGAGAGAGAGACAGACCGACAGAGACACACAGACAGATATGCAGATAGATACATAGATAGGAGGGAAATATAGCAACAAAAAACAAACATACAAACAAACACAAGTAAGAAAACAAGCAGTAAGAGCACGCAGATACAAGCCAGCAGCACATGCTTGCCCAGTGCGAACTCAATAACCAGGAGATTAGAGACCAGCGTGGCAATGCATGTGATACATTTAACGTAGATTAAAATCATAGTGGACAATGTAACGCTCTCTCCCTCTTGCTTGCTTGCTTGCTTTCACGTTGTCTGTTCTCTCTCTCTCTCTCTCTCTTTCTCTTTCTCTTTCTCTTCCTCCCTACCTCCTTTCTTCCTTCCTTCCTTCCTTCCTTCCTTCCTTCCCTCCTTCCCTCCTTTCATTCCCTCCCTCCCTCCTTCCCTCCCTCCCTCTCTCAGAATAGATATCCACATATACCGCGACCCCCCCCCCCCCCCGCCCTTTCTCACAAGAGCGGCCATGATCTTGGAAAATCTGCGCGCGAAATGGAAATTCCTTTGGGCCCAAATCCGGCTGGCGAGTGGATGAGACGAGCAGCCTGCGTGGTGGCAAACTTCGGTTATGGGAGAGGCGAAGCTAAGCCTAAAGTGACTGTCATTTGCTTCTGTTACGTCACGGGCAAGACGACTTGGGAATGCTTTTTTCTCTCTCTCTCTCCTTCTCTCGTTTTCTTTATTTTTTAGCTACTTCTCTTTTTCTCTTCTTTTTTTCTGTTTTTTTTTTATTTCTCTTTCTCCTACATCTCCTTCTCCCTTTTATTATCTTTCTCCTCCCCCTACTTCCCTCTCTCTCTCTCTCTTCTCTACTCTCCTCTTCTCTCTTCCTCTCTCCTCTTCTCTACTCTTCCCTCCTCTCCTCTCTCTCTCCTCTCTCTCTCCTCTCTCTCTCCTCTCTCTCTCCTCTCTCTCCCTCTCTCTCTCTCTCTCTCTCTCTCTCTCCTCTCTCTCTCTCTCTCTCTCTCTCTCTCTCTCTCTCTCTCTCTCTCTCTCTCTCTCTCTCTCTCTCTCTCTCTCTCTCTCTCTCTCTCTCTCTCTCTCTCTCCCTTTCTCTCTCCCTTTCTCTATCCTTCTCTCAATCCCTCCCTTCCTCCCTGCTTCCCTCCCTGCTCCCCTCCTTCCCTCCCTTCCTCCCTCCTAAGTCAGCGTGTTTACTCACCTGCAGGGAAGGAGGAGGAGGAGGAGGGAAAGTTATAAGGAGGAGGCTCGACACAAGGAAGTCTCGACGTTAACTTGAGGAAGAAACACGGAAGGATATCATCCCACCAGCATCCTATTATCACCCCCCCCCCCCCGGTCCTGTCCTTTCCCCAAGTTCTCTCTCCCTCTCTCTCTCTCTCAAAAAAAAAAAAAAAAAAAAAAAAGTTTGACTCAACTTTGGTAGTAGGATATGGCCCATCACGGCTAAACACGGGGCCATGCTGGTCCATAATGCTCTTAAATCCCACATACTTGACACGTGCGAGGAAGTGGCTGCCAGAGTGTCGATGCCGCTCCCTATGGCACTGCTTGCCGCCCCCCCTCCCTTCCTTCTCCTCCGTTCCTGTGTCACTCTTCCTCCATCCCCAGCCTCAGTGGTACCCCCTCCCCCCCCCCCCCAATCCCTGGCGGTCCTATGGTATTCTTCCCCCTGTCCCTCATCCCTGGAACACCTGTGGTTCTACTCTCATCTTATGATCTCCTTGTGCACTCTTCCCCTGCTTTCTTCTCTCTCTCCCTTTCTCTCTCTCTCTCTCTCTCTCTCTCTCTCTCTCTCTCTCTCTCTCTCTCTCTCTCTCTCTCTCTCTCTCTCCCAATCCTCCTATGATATCCTCTCCTTTCATCCTTTTTGCTCGCATGGTATTCCTCCCCTGCTCCTCACTCCTAGGTCACTCTTCCCCTCTCCCCATCCTCGGCACTCCATTGGCACCCCCCCCCCCCCACGTAAAGCTCTCCTCCCTGTATGCCAGTATGCCTTCCACAATACTCGGCACTCACATAGCACCCCCCCCCCCCCTCATCCTCGGTGATATGAAGGCACTACCCCCTCCCCCTCCCTGTCTTGACACGGGTGTTACGCGAGAAGAAGCCTTGAGCCCTGAATCCAGCGCTGACTTCTGACACCGAGACAAGTACGGTTGCTCTGCCGAGTGGGCGTGGGCGTCTGCAATTTTATATTACATCACGGCATAATTTTTTTTAGAGAATCCGGGGCTGGGATTCACGGAATGGAAATGCTTGGTGCTTTGTATGTTTTGTCTGTAATTATTTTTTTTCTTTCTTTCTTTTTTTCCTGCTGTGATTGCGATGCTTTCTAGTTGTGATGGTTCATGTGAGGAGTAATTAGCATTCGTATCACTAGATTTCCTGCGCGTGCAGGAATAAATGTATTTTTGTGTGTGTTTTTTTTTCTTTTTGTGTGTTTATATTTTCAGGTAGTTGTAACGTGAGCTGTTACTAGCGCCTGTCCATATTTGTACAGTATGTCCTCTGAAAACATGTTTAATGCAATGATCAGAAAACGGAACGGATTAATGTCCTGTGGACCTTTTCCCTTGCAGAGGTCAGAGAGAGCAGCCCGGTGAGCGCCTGCATTATCATCCCCTCTTTCCCCATGCTCCCCTTCCTCCTTCCCCTTCCTCCTTCCCCTTCCTCCTTCCCTCCCTTTGGCCGATAAGCGCGCCTCCATTTGCATACTTCCGCTATTAATTCCCGCGTCTCCCTCGCCCCACAGGAATCAGCATGCATAAGGGATACGCATTCGTCCAGTTCACCAACCCCTTCGACGCCCGCTCTGCCTGCATGGGCGAAGATGGGCGGAGCGTGTTCGGTCAGATCCTGGGTGAGTACGACACAGGTTCCTCTTCCTCGACACTCGCCTCCTTGGTGGCTGCCACACACACACTCGCTGACTGCAGAGTCCTCTTCCTCGACACAAGTCTTCTTGGTTGCTGCCACACACACACTTGCCGCCCGGCTGGCTGGCTCGCTGGCCGCCGGCCGGCCTCTCGTGCTCCGCTCGACTCCTTCGGCCTCGCCGTCGCTGCCGCCCTCAGCTCGTGGGGCTCGGGTCGGGTCGGGTCGGTGTAGGCGTCGGGAGGCAGGCTGCGTGTGTCGGAAGAAGGGGGGTAGTTCCGTGTCAGGTTTGGTTTCCTGGGAAACTCGTCGGGAGTTAGTTTTGTTAGCTTTGTTTTCTTCGTATCTACTTGGGATGTCAATATCGAGGCAGTGAGGATACTCAAGAAATAGAGCGAGTAATTTTCAGTGTTCAGTCTTTTTTCAAGTTGCACACAAGGATCGGCCCATTACGAAATTGGAATTCAAGGAGACAAAGGCCGAGGAGGAGGAGGAGAAAAAAAGACGGGTGAAAAAGGGGAGGCAGAAATTTACGACATGACAACTTAACATTTTCACATTTCTCCAAAATGAACAATGCTAATAAAAACAATATCTCAGAAAATATACACGAAAACAATGCGCACAAAATATACATGTAGAGAAATACCAAAAAGACAGCAAATAAATACATACACATAAAAAAATACACAATTTATTCATCAGGGTACTAGTCACTACACTACCAACAATTCCTGCGATGGGAAAGTGCTCGTAAAGTATCATTTCTTGCTTCCACGCCCTCCCCCCGACACGCCCACACCCACAAATCTCCCTTTGAGTTTTGTTCACGCGAGTTCACTCAGAATGGGCAGGACAGACGGCTTGCGTGCCCGTGGAAGCCGAGAACCCCCCCCCGATCAAGAACACGGCTGAAGATAGTGGGGATGGGGGAGGGGGGCAGGGAGGCGGGGCGAAGGGCCAGGATAGGAGGGTCAGAAATAAGGGGTAGGGGAGGATAGGGTGTCGGGGGTCGGGATAGGGGCGTTCGGGGTCGAGAATAGGGGGAGGGAGAGGGGAGTGGGGGAGGCAGGAGGTGGCGTGACGCGGGGCAATCTTGTAGTAGCCTGCATCATTGATAGGAAGTCGATCTCCAGATGTGAGAAAGTGCCTTCATACATTATACAAATTTACAATATTTACGAGAGATGCGTAATGGGAGGGACAATTTTACAATTCCTAGCTGATCGGAAATTCCCAGAAAAAAAAAATATATATATATTTACATACATTGACCGGGCTGCGGCGCAGAGAAATAACATATCAATTCAATAACCAGATCGTAGTTCCAATCCCTTAGCTTACAACATAAAGGGCGCTCACTCGGCCGGACAAAGCTAACAAATACCCACTGGCATTTTTTTCTCATACCAAGAATATCTCACCACAACCCCCCCCCCCCCCCGCCCTACCCCCCTGCCTCCCACTCGAACCCCTTGCCTTCGACCGGAGCGACGTCGCGCAGTGGCCGTAGATCGAGTGTCCGATGTCGGGGCCGGTCTGCAAGGGGCAACTGAAAACCTTTTTTTCTTTTTTTTTCAATTTATGGATGGACGTCTGGGCAGCGGCGCCATTGGGTAAATGTATGTACACTGGAACTGCCAGCGTTGTATAGATAGAATGGAAGCAAAATTCTTCACAGATGACAAGAAATACTTATACTAGTAATCTTCGCTTAGCGGAGGTACTAATGCTGATACTCATCGATAATGAGCGACAAAGGGGCAGTGGCAGTAGTGATGGCACACCATTATTAAAACTTCATTGGTATGACGCCAAATACCCGAACACAATGCAATGGTGATTCGGTACCACAAACACACTAACCCAAGACATGAAAGTGAGTGCATCAGTATATCAACGATCGTTATGCAACACAAGGCATTCTGCAACAGAGCCTGAGGCAACACAAAGCACTTTGCTGCCCGGATCCTATGTCAGCACAGATACAGCACAAAGCACTTTGCAATACGTCCTCATGGAACACAGAAGACCCTGCAACTCAGAGTCTTATGCAACACAGATCCTTATGCAACAGAGAGCATTCTGCAACACACCGGGGAATAGCAGAGTGTATACGACCTCGAGGATAAAGTTCGACATCATGGTGCAATTTCTTAGAACTTTTATGCAAAGGCATTTGCTATGATACGCTCGTCTGCCTCTTAAGAGCAGATCGCATTAACATAATTCCTCGTTGCTTAGGGAGGGGAGAAAGGGAGAGGGGAGAGGGGAGAGGGCCAAGGGAGAAAGGGCAGGGAGAAGGGGGGCAGGGGATCCATCACAATGATATCCTCCCTGCCCACCCTTCCCTCCGCCCCCCCACCCGTCCACCATTCCCTCCCCGTCGCGAGGTCGAAAATTAACGGAATGAATAATCTTTTATCAAGTTCGCTGGATGCTGTAGCGGAGCCTCAGCGGCGAGGCGGCTTTGCGTGCGCTGGTGGCCGGCTTTTCGGGGTCCAGGCGTCTCGCGTGTGTGTGGCTTTCCCGCCGGAGGCCCGTGCGGCTTCCCGGAGAATGGCACTGGGTGTGGCACTCCAATAGTACCAAATATGAGAGAGGAGATTGTGTTAATCTTATATCGATGTTTATTTATTCATTTATTATTATTACTGTTATTATTAGCGGTTTTAATATTAGTATTATCATTATTCTTCTTATTATTATTATTGTTCTTGTTTTTAGTAATAGTAGTAGCAGTAATAGTACTATTTTTATTATTATTATTATTGTTATTATTAGTAATATATATCATCGTCATCAGTATTATTATTACTATTATAATAATTTGATGGCCTTTGATTCTTTGTTTCTACATTAATTTTGGGGAACTCGTACACACAAAAGAAGCCAAATTCAAGGAGAATTTACACCGCTGTGCAAAGCTTGCTAAATGAATGCAGATGTAGCAGCACGCGTTGCCCGAGTGATTGGCTGCAACTTTGCAAACTTGAATCGTTAGCGCGATCGCGTCGGCGGGAACAGCCGAGCTTTAACGCAAACTTCATTCCGAGCCTCGTCGTCGTCGTCATCGTCGCCTTGCTGACACGCCATTCACACTCCTCTCCATTTGCCCTCCTCTCCCCTTCCCCCTCCTCTCCCCTTCCCCCTCCTCTCCCCTTCCCCTCCTCTCCCCTTCCCCCTCCTCTCTCCTTCCTGCTCCTCTCTCCTTCCCCATCCTCTCCCCTTCCCCCTCCTCTCCCCTTCCTGCTCCTCTCTCCTTCCCCATCCTCTCCCCTTCCCCATCCTCTCCACTTTGCCCACCTCTCTCCTCCTCCCTTCCTCTCCTTTTCCTCCTTCTCTACCCCCTCCTCTACACTTCCCCTTTCCTCTTTCATCTCACCTCCTCTCTCTTCCCCCCTCCTCTCTTCCACCCTCCTCTCTTCTTCTCCCTCCTCTCTACTTCCCCTTCTCTCCCCTTCCCCCTCCTCTCCTCACCTCATATTCCCCTTACATCCCCATCCCTTGCATTTGCATTTCCCCCTCCCCGTCTGCCATAACCTCCCCCCCCCCTCTCTCTCCTGTAAAGTCGCATTCACTCCCTTCATATTCTTAATAGTCTTTTCACATTTTTTTTACTCCCACATTCTTCTCCTGTCTTATTCATACTTTCTTATTCCCTTCTTAGAATCCACACGCCCCCCCCCCCTCCCTATTTCTTTGAAATTTGTCCTTCTCCTTCTCCCTCTTTGAAATTTACACTACCCCCCCATATTCATTAACTCCCCCCCTTAAAATTCACCATCCCCCTTTCTCCAAATTCACCCCCCCCCCCTTGAAAGTTACATACCCCACTCCCCCACCTTCAGATTATATACGCCCCCCCCCCCCCCTTGAAATTCGCATTCCCTTTCACTCCCCATGAAAGTCGCACCCGCCCCCTCCCCCATCCGCATTCCCCCAGCCAGCGTCGGTTCCGCGGGTAATCCTGTGGGAGATGAGAGCATCCGGCATCTCCGTGTTCGCCGCAACACCGGCCGCTTCTCGCTCCCGCCTCGTCCTGATTGCCGCCGGATCGTACCTGCTAAGACTTCCCCCAGGACGGTCCTTATATGGCGGAAGCCTCTCACGCTGTCTCTCTGTCTCTTTCTCTTTGTCTTTCTCTTTCCCTTTGTCTTTGTCTTTCTCTTACTCTTTCTCTCTCTTTTTCCTTGTCCTTTTTATTTTCATTTTCCCTTTCCCTTTCCCTTTCCCTTTCCCTTTCCCTCTCTCTCCTCTCTCTCTCTCTCTCTCTCTCTCTCTCTCTCTCTCTCTCTCTCTCTCTCTCTCTCTCTCTCTCTCTCTCTCTCTCTCTCTCTCTCTCTCTCTCTCACTCACTCACTCACTCACTCATTCTAACTCACTCTCTTTCCCTCTCACTGTCTTTTTCTCTCTCCCTTTCCCATTTCCCTTTCCTTTTCCCTACCTCTCTCTGCACCCGCCTCCGTCGAGCTTGCTTCATCCCCGCGCCCACTTTCCCACGCCCACGTTCATGCCGTCGAATCCACGATGCTGTTAGGATCTGACTCTGGTTTTAGGTGTGTGTGTGTGTGTGTGTGTGTGTGTGTGTGTGTGTGTGTGTGTGTGTGTGTGTGTGTGTGTGAATGTGTGTGTGTGCGTGTGTGTGTGTTTGTGTGTGAGTGTGAGTGTGATTGTCTGTCTCTGTTTGTCTGTCTGTCTGCGTCTGTCTGTCTGTTTGTTTGTCTGTCTATCTGTGTCTGCAAAAAGAAACAAAAGGCTATGTATCTTCAATGAAAAGGAATAAACTTTGACCTCTTGTTTCATACTATCTCTCCTCCCTTCTCTTCCTTCTTCTCTCGTCTCTCCCCAACACCCCTCCTTCTCCCCCCCCCCCTCCCTCTCAATATTCAGCATAGCCCCCCCCCCCCCATTCTTCGGTGTGAGGCTATTAACTCGTTACTCCCATTACGACAGATTCATCTCCCACTCATTTCCCCACTCACC